AGAGAGAGAGAGAGAGAGAGAGAGAGAGAGAGAGAGAGAGAGAGAGAGAGAGAGAGAGAGAGAGAGAGAGAGAGAGAGAGAGAGAAAGCAGATTGAGGCATATTGGCTTTCCAGATTATGGATGTTCCATGAATATGAGAACACTGTGACATTATTGAGGCAGTTCAAGAATCCATGCTTAACCCTCCTCTTGAGGGTAAAAAGGCTATCAGACACTTACTCTTCGCACGTCAGTGGAAAGCACATTTCATGGTCCTTTCAATAAACTGATAAAAATGGTAGGTCAGCGCTGAAACAAAAAAAGTTTTTCACACTGTCCGTTAGCCCATGTCCTCAGAAAAAGTCTGATATCTGACCTTTCCCCATTGCCCTTTGACCTGTGACCTCCACTTTCGCAATGGTGATGGGTTTCCTGCCCATCACACTATACACCGAATATTAAGAGCATAGGTCGAGCCGTTAAGAGTTGTGCCGCAATTCCGTATTTCCTGCTATACCTTAAGTTAAGGAGGAAATATTCCCCCTCCGTTTACACATGTTGACCTTTGACCCTTGACCCCCAAATTTGTCATCCTGAATCCTTTTTACGATTCCCCCCCCCCGACGTCCCTAATATCGTGACCATACGTCGAGCGGTTAAGATTTGTGCCCAACTGTTGACGGACGGCCGGACGCACGCACGGACGCACGCACGGACAATCATGCGATTCTACAAGCTGCATCTGACTACGTCAGATGAGCTAACAATTTTCTCAGACAATTCGGCCTTGGCTGCTTTTACCTTCTTTTGCCTAATTACTTTTCGTCTACTTACTTACAGCCAATATAACCAGTTTGCATTGAGACCGTGTTATTTTAAAGGCTCCCTCCTGCGCGGCTTTATAAACAATAAAAACTTTCCTAGAGAATTCGGCCTTCGTTCACCTACTTTGTCTACTTAGTATTTACCTTACCTTTTCGTCTACCTAGTTTCAATCGTTTGTATAACCCGTTTGCCGTCAGCTATTCCATCGACAACTCGACCCCCAGATGACCTTTTCTCGCTATCAAACTACTTATGCAGGCCTGCACTCGTGAATTTCTTCCGCTGAGACACGAGCGTGCGTGTGCACGTGGTGACATTATGGTGTGGCGTGATCTCCTTACCCCCTGTGACAAGGTTACCCCCCCCCCACCTACCACCACTATACAAACTAGAAACGAGCAGTTGTCGCCAACTACATGTATCCCCCGTGATCTAGTATGAATGGAATATCTCTGTAGTGTAAGGACGTAGAAGGCAGGTAAAGTTAAATAAGTCACAAAGACAAAGGTTTGTTAGACAACT